TCTGTTGCATTGAAGCACAATTTATCGTTCAAATCACTAACATTTCCGTGTTTTATAGATTTGTGTCTTCTGTCTCCGCGTAGGTGAAGTTAGTGAACATGTAAAGGCTAAAAAATTGATCTTTAAGTTCAGGGATAGGATTAAGTATTTAGCTAAAGATGTTACCAAGTTCTTTAATTGTCAATTTTATTGCATTGAAGCACAATTATCTTTCAAATCACTTACATTTCCGTGTTTTACAGATTTGTGTCTTCTGTCTCTGCGTAGGCGAAGTTAGTGAACATGTAAATGCTAAAAATTTGATCTTTAAGTTCAGGGATAGGATTAAGTATTTAGCTAAAAATGTTGACTTTAGAAGTAATCACAGTCACACGTGTATTTACCACTTACACCTACGTTAGTCTTGTATATCGTATGTCCTCCATTCAAGTGTCATATTTGCTGTTTTTGTGAGTGGAAACACTTATGTTTGACATCCCGGGAAACATTTAAGGGGAACCTCTTAGTTGAATGTAAATAATCGACAAGCATATATGAGTACTCAGCTGATCATCAGATAGTAAGCAGGCTGCTGATTATTGTGCTTTTCTTTTTAATTTATGAAATTGTTGCACTGCAAGATTGGATGAGAATATGCAGAGAAAACGCTAGTTTTACTAGATTGAGTTTGCAGCCAAATTTAATTCTGTCCTATTCAGTTTGTAAAATGAAACTAGCAGTTTTTTGCCCGATAAGCTGATTATTCACCTTTTTAAATCAGCATGTAGGTGTATTCTGTTTGTAACACTAGATCAGCTTCTCTCTCACTCTTGATTGAGAAGTCAGAATTTTAAAACCTGACGTAATCGGCATGCTATATTGCATTTACATTTATGAAACCGTAGTTGCATTTTGCACACTCACTGCATACAGATTGTGTGTATTAGTAAGCCAATTATTGATTACTTCAACTGTGATGAACGCCTTCCCTTTTTACAAATATGTTGAAGTACCATGCCTTGGCAGTTTCTTTGTGATTTTCTTATCCTCCTTACTAATACTAACCTTGCCGAGTTTCTTGATTTTCTTATTCTCCTGACTAATATTAACACAGCTTCTATCTGCTAATATTTTTCTGCATTGATATCTGAATATGAAATCCCATGCAGGTAAGTCGTACAAGGATATAGTTGGGAGTGCTTACTATGTTGCCCCTGAGGTTTTAAGGAGGTGTTATGGCAAGGAGATAGATATTTGGAGTGCAGGTGTTATGCTTTATATACTACTCAGTGGTGTGCCTCCGTTTTGGGCAGGTGAAGTCATCTACTTTGCTTCTCATTTCTAAGATAATACACAGATGACAATTGTTGCCACTTTCTAGGATTCAAGGACTTAACGGTATCTACTTGCTTGATATGCAGAAACTGAAAAGGGTATATTTGATGCCATACTTAAAGGGACCATTGACTTTGAAAGCAAGCCTTGGCCGTCTGTATCAAGTAGTGCCAAGGACCTAGTACAGAAGATGCTGACTAAAGATCCAAAGAAACGGATTACAGCTGCACAAGTTCTCGGTATGTGGCCTTTAAACTATAGCTTATTGATTTTAAGATTGGTAATGATTTCAGTAGATTCAGAACTCCTTGAAGATTTCCTTTCTGACATTACTGCACATATTTGTTTCTTTTAGAAATAAAGAATTACATGTACAGTAACATTACGTGTTTCTTTCCATGCTTATATATCTGTTGCTTTCCATCTATCAAGAATTTGAAACTCGAAAGGTAGAATGGTGAGACATGATAAGCCTTGATATCGAAGAAACATAGATTCATGAAAATTGCTGGCATTTATTTGAGGTGACACATTGTTTGTTTGCAGCTCAAATTAATAGGCGCAATTTAGCTTGCAGTATCACCTTCAAAGCTTATCTTTTATTTGACACTTAGAATTCATTCCCCTTTTTTTTAGAATCCTGCTTCTTAGCTTCAACCATTTCTAGGAAAATACTTATTGTTTTGTGCAGAACAAATATATCTTCTATTGATGTTTAAAATCAGAACTCTTTATGTCACAACAATTTAGGCTATTAATACGTGAAAGTACTCCTTGAGACAATGTTGTGAAAGGCGATCGGCTCGTCGCCAATGGCGAGAGGCGAGGTGCGGGGCCACCCTTCATCGCCTATTAGCTTTGTGGCGAGGCGATTTTCTTAAGGCGACACCATGGTGACATAGGCGAGAAAGGCGTCACCTTTTGTATTTTCTTAAATAGAAGGCAACCAATTTAGGATTTTTAAAAGTTAAAAGGTAATTTTAGGGTTTTCTTTCCAAATTTGCACAGTTGCAATCTTAGACTGTAACTGTGACTCTAACCAATCAACATTAAACTTCTCCGGTGACCAGCCAGACTTTTCCGGCTACTCCCAAATCCAGCCAATACGTATTTCTTCTTTTCTTCTTTTTTCTTCTTCAGATTTCTTCTTCCACTGATTCTTTTTCCTTCTTCTTTAGACTTCAGAGTTACTTCTACCTCTGTTTTTTCTCATTGTTTTGACTTTTGTTCTGTTTTTTTCTCATTCAAGTTCTAGACTTTTGGTATGTACTATCTATTTTTAGCTTTTGAATTGAAATATTTGCTAATATTTATTGCTATTGAGATTTTGCTTATTTATATGTTCAATTAAATATTCTAATTTTTTTATATTAATTGGCGCCACACTTCAAAAAGGCGAGCACCTCGCCGCTTGCCTCGCCTCCATCCAAAACACTGGCCTTGAGAACAACAGATACACATGTGTTGCCAGTATGTTTTGTTATATCTTATTCTAACCATACTGTTGGTGCGTGTAATTGACAGAGCATCCTTGGCTGAAGGAAGGTGGTGTTGCATCAGACAAACCATTAGAGGGTGCTGTCCTGTCAAGAATGAAGCAATTCAGAGCTATGAACAAACTCAAGAAACTCGCTTTGAAGGTAATCTTAGAATTTGTCAACTCTGCTGCAACTGAATCTTGGTAAAGGGAAAAAGGGATACAAGGGTATAATTTCAAATTTCTTATATTGGCTTTCGTTGTCTAAAGAAAATGAAAGGACTGCCTTTTTGCATGTATGGCGTTCCTCATATGATAGTCATGTACTTCACATGCAAGAAAATTACCTTTTTCACTTTATCTGCTTTAATCTCACTTCCTTCCGTTCCTTTCAAGCTAACAATATGTGAAGAACATGATTAGATTTAGCATGAGCCACCATATTGTTTTGTGAGTTTGGTTAGTCGGCTTTCTTACTTACTTACTCATAGTTGTATGATAAACATAGTACACCTTCTAATTGTGTTTTGACAATTTACTCTATTCTGGGGGTCCATGTATCTTCCTTATTTGGGATCCTGTGCTTGCATGCTAGCTGTCTTGTTCTTCCTTCTGCAAGTAATAACACGTTGCATTGTCTGTTGTTGGAATCAGGTCATTGCCGAGAATCTCTCTGCAGAAGAAATTCACGGGCTCAAAGCAATGTTCCACAATATTGACACTGATAATAGTGGCACTATCACTTATGAAGAACTGAAGAGTGGATTGGCTAAACTTGGGTCAAAGCTCACTGAGGCTGAAGTCAAGCAATTGATGGAAGCTGTAAGTCGGAACTACTAAAAGTTATTAACCATTTCTTTCGACTTCATAAAATTACTGAATTGATGTGCCCCAATAATATCTCGTGCCTTGTATACTTTAGGCTGATGTAGATGGAAATGGCTCAATCGACTACACTGAATTCATCACCGCCACCATGCATAAGCACAGGCTAGAAAGAGATGAAAATCTATATACTGCATTTCAGTATTTCGATAAAGATAGCAGTGGGTACGTCTTATGTGCACATCTATTGTAAAAGCATGATCAAACCAATAGAATCATGAGATAGTTGACTCAAAATTTACTTTTTTTCATGTAATCATTGTAGGTTCATTACAAGAGATGAACTCGAGGCAGCTATGCAAGAACATGGAATAGGCGATCCATCCTGTATAAGGGAGATCATATCTGAAGTGGACACGGACAATGTGAGTTTTCACTGCTTTTCGCTAAATAGTTGAACTGTATCCCCTTGCCCCATATGCTAATTCTGTCGAATTTTCAGGATGGAAGAATCAATTACGAGGAATTCTGTACAATGATGAGAAGTGGAGCCAAGCAACCAGGCAAGGTCTTCTAGTTGCACGAGTCTCTTTGTGGGCAAGTTGTAGAAGAGCTATTCTTGAAAATGTGCACGATGAGCTCTGTCGTTGCTTCCATTAGAGATGTTTAAACGTTTTCCAGTAAAAAAACATGTACATTTGTGATTTTCTCCGTTCAAAACAGCCTTTTATGAGTGTTCCTGTTTGTCTTCTGCGCGATTTTTTCCTCCCTTGTGTAAACTGCATCAGTTTGGGACTAGAAAAGGCTTTGAATTAGGCCACTCCTAGCAAATGAAATATTTCAATCGTCGAAGATTTCACCACATTTTATGTTTAATGAGTTATGTCATTCATTGAGATTCATTTTAGTGAAGATCATCAAATCAGCTTCAATTTTCCTAATGAACTAGCAAATTCAGGATAAACTATCTGCAACATATCTATTTATATGCTCTTTGGTGCTTGACCAACAAAGATAGAACCACCACCAAAGAATGTGGAGCAGTAGATGAGAATGTTCCTCCCGCAGCTTTGAATACAGATATAGTCGGACTCCAATATGGACACTAGACACAGAGTGAAACAAAAAAAAGAAGATAGAACCAGCAACTTAGGTTTTAGCTTGTTCCTTTCTCCTATCTGTTGTGTTAGTTTGGTAATCTCTCTTTTAATACACTTGTAAGCTTCCAAAGTTATCATGTGGCCCTGTTGTAGGCAACTGACAAAGACTATTCAAGGTGAAAAACTGGCAGGTTTTTAGATATACAAGCTATCAACTGGTAATAAAGTACTAAGCAGGCTGTATAAATGGATTGCAAGGTCTGGATAAACACAGACACTAACACCAATTAGCTTTAGAAAACCAAATTTATTATTATCTGTAAACAAAGTACAACCAGCACAATTCAGAAAGAAACCCATGGCAAGATATCATGGGCATTAACAAAAACCAACACTTGTTAACAACAAACCCAAACAACTGCTATATTTTACTATGCTTCAAATAACTCTAAATAGCCAACAACTTAGAAACCATGAATCTTGATTTGATCCTTCTTGACAACACCAGCAGTCACAAGGAAATGAGAAACATTCTTCCTTTGATCACCTTGAAGTTGTATCACTTTGCCAAGTTCTTTATCCTGCACAACATTCCCGTTGCAACAGAATTCCTTCTTCAGATCTTTGAGGATTTTTTCGTAACTGAATTCTTTCCTCAGTCCTTGAACTGTCGTCAAACTTTTCTTTCCATTCCTTTGTTGTATGCGAATATGAACATACTCCTTGGCTCCAGGTGCACCGGAGTCCTTAGCCTCAGCAAATGGATCGAAAGCAGATGGGATCTGGACGTCGATATCAACCATGTAAATAGCTGGAAGAGAACTTCTCACGCTCCGAAACTGAAGCTTGGTAAATTGATCACAAGAGAGCTGCAAAAAGAACACTTCTTTTAACATGGAAATGATCAAGATACTAAAACTCCAACAACATAAGTATTAAACAACAATATGAGATGATCAAAATATCAAAAATACAACTACATCAATGCCCGAAATTAAACCTAGTAAATTGATCACACAGAGTGCAAAAAAAGAACACCTCTTTAATATGAACAACCCAACTATACACAATGAGATGATCAAAAAAGCAAAAATCCATATTTAGCAAAACATGAGATAATACCCCACATACATATTAAGCAATATTAGATGATCAACACATAAGAAAATCAACTACACAATGAGATGATCAAGAATATCAGGAAATCCAACTAGTTTTTTTTTTTTGAAATAAGGAAATCCAACTAGTCCAACTACATAACTTCTAAGCAAACATGAGATGATTAACATATAAAAGTCCAACTACCTAACTATTAAGCAATATGAAATGATGATCAAGATCAACAAATATATATATATTTCGATAACCATGATATCTAGAACATCTTCCCGCACCTCGACTAATTCCACATATCAAGATCAACATATCAAAAATTCCCAACTAACTATCCTAGAGATTCAAGTGCAATCATCCCTAGATAATTCAAAGATCAAAGATTCTAACTTTTGATTGACTAAAACTGCACATACAAGCAGAGTCCAAATTTAACAAAGTTATCAAAAAAACCAACTGAAGTTGAAAAAGACCATCTTTAACTATAACATAGATGATCCAAGGATCAAAATCCAAACTTTGATTGACTAAAGCCACAAACAAACCACAACCCAACAACCCACAAAGTTAAAAATGTCTAATCAACCCAAAAACTAAGGAAAAAAAGTAGCAACATGACTCTACTAGCTAGATTTTCTACACACACAAAAAAAACCAAAATTTACTTAAAACTGAAAATAATAGAGTAAAGAACTAACCTTAAGAAAGACTAATCAAACACTAGATGATGTTTTTCAAGAGAAGAAAAACTTGTTCTTTATTTATAGACAAGAAACTAGAAATGGTGGCGGTGTAAGTGGGGTCACAATATTCCCAAACACAACACCTTAATTAGCCTTAAATACGTCATTAATTATGTCTAATCCTGATTAAGAACGGCTGTGATTTGTTTGTAGCTACTAATTTGGTCCGGTAATTTGGGGATTAGGGTTTTAAAAAACGCGTAAATTCAACGCATTTGGAAAATTGGAACAATTGCTTTCGGGTTACGGCAATTTCGGGGGCCCACTTACAAGTTGGGTCAGCATGTGTGGGGCCCGATTCGTCTCGTCATCCATTTGCTGAGAAGAATCCAGATATATATATTCTAGATAAGTTGCGTGTTTTGCCTGCTTGACTCATTGTTGGGCTGTAAATTGAGTGGGCCCATCATACAATTATGGAAAAGTTACATACATGTGAAATGTATTTATGGAGTATTATATTATAGGGAAAATTGTATATTATAACAAATTATTAATTCAAAATAAATGTTATAGTTATAGTTTTATTTAATTCTAATTTTTAGCAAACACTGTCATTCTGTCATTCAGAGAATCTCGCTTGCCACTCTGGAATCTCGCTCGAGTCTCTCACTTTATACCACACAAGTGTATATATTATGTTTGTGTTTGTATAAAGCAAAAGAGAACAATATATATAAATATAAATACATATCGCTTCATCTTATACATTTATAATCATACAAATACAAATCTTCCCCTATCCAGTTCTCTTTGCCTTTCTCTCTTTCTCGCTTCATACAAACACAAATTATACAAAGCGAGAGAGAGATTTGATATACAAATACAACTGTTTTAACTCAATTTAATTGTATACGAATTCAAATTTTACGTAGATATACAAACACAAAGAATATATACATATACAAACACAATTTTTATAAACAGAGACAGACGATTTATACAAATCGCTACAATTTATACAAATCAGATGTCTGCGATTTTATACAATCAGATGCTACCTGCAATTTTATTCAAATCTGATGCTATAGTTTACTATGAAGCACAAATACAAAACTGTAGTTATAGAGCGCTAATATGATTTTTATGTTTGTTATTCCTAAAATTTACTCGTTAACAATACAATTATAAATGATAGCAGTTAACAATACAATTATAAATGATACTAGCAGTTAACGATACAAATACAAAAAGTAACACCACACACATATGATAATAGGACTATTTAAAAACGAATTGTGATTGTTAAGCCAACCGCAATATTGGCTTGTAGTGTTATTAATGTTGGATTATCATATTAGTTGGTGAATAGACTAAAATTTTATTGTATCAATTGTATTATGATACAAATCGATTAGATGTATAAATTAATTGTAATTCTCCTTTCTCTTCATATCTCGATTGTCTCTCCCCTTCTTCTAACATGTAATCAGGGGTGGATCAATGAAGGCCCGTGGAGTGTCACGCCACCACAAACTTCGATGAAAACTCTATATATATAGGTATATATATGTATAACAAAGATAAAAATAATAAATGTGTTACCAGTCATATATATATATATATACACTGATTTAGTATTAATAAATAATTACTTTTTGACTAATGAAATTTATTAATCTTTTAACTTTTCTTTATTTCTTATTAGTTTATATTTATTTAAAGATACAAAAGTTTAATGAAAATTTTTGTTCCCTCTTCACATTGAAAATCATGTCCGTCTTCTTCACTAAATATCAACATCTCTCGCCTCATCGCTCTATTGCTATTGCTTTTTCGTTTAGATTTGAGTTATCAACTCGATGCTTTCGTAATTCATATGTGAGGTGCTATTTCCAAAATTTTCAACTTACAAGGAATTTGTGATTTGACAAAGATATTTATTGAGGGAAATTTTGTGAAAAATTATTCACTTATTTATTTCCTTGTGAAGTTCACTATAATTTTACGTGATGATACGATAATTGTGAAGAAAACATTTTCATTCATAAAGCACATAAAAAATAAAGTGCGGAATAACATTGTTGATATATCTTTAAATGATTATTGAATTTGTTATATAGAGTGTAATATATTTGTAAATGTAAGTAATGATGACATTATTGACCACTCTCAGAATATAATGAAAACTCGTCGAGATAATTATAAATGAATGATGAATATTTTATGATATTAGTAATATTATTGAAAGTCTTAGCTTTATGCACTTCATGATCACAATCGAATGTGGATTGTACTGTTCATACCTTGTTTTTGACAATCGCAGTTGAATGTGGAGTGTACTGTTCATATTTTGTTTTTGAGCTTGTTAGATCGATAAGACGAATAATTTGATTCAACGCCTAAATTGATTTAATCGATAAATTTAATTGACACCTATAGACTTTTAATCATGGATCCCACCCTGCATATAATTACAGATTATAATTAATCAAATTATAATCACACACCTCTAAATAAATTCAAACTGTAGTTATTTTTAAAAGTTTCTAATTCAAATAGTCTAAAATTAAATTATCATAAGAGATCTTAAATATATATACATACATAGAAATATCATTAATTTAGAAATGCTTTTTTTTTTTGTCTCGCATATTACTTGTTTTTATTGTATATTCTTGAAAGACATATTTAATTTTACATAATAATATTACTATTTATAAAAATAAGTATTAATTCTGGTCATTAGAAGTCACATCTATTTGCAATACACCCAGTTGGATATTGATGTAAAAACTTTGTTTTTATTTGTATAAAGATTTAAGCTATTTAACTCAAAATTTTAAAATATTTTCAATCAAAAATCGATAGTTCTTTTTTATATATATAATATTTAATATTATTTCAACTAAAATTAAAATCGTAAAATTTACATAAAGATTTAAGCTATTTAATTCAAAATTTTAAAATATTTTTATTCAAAAACTGATAGTTCTTTTTTATATATAATATTCAATATTATTTCAACTAAAGTTAAAATCGTAAAATTTACATAAGCTATTTAACTCAAAATTTTAAAAATATTTTAAATCAAAAATCGATAGTTCTTTTTTTATATATAATATTCAATATTATTTCAACTAAAATTAAAATCGTAAAATTTTACTATTAAATTTTTTTGGCCCCTATGTATGTATAGTAACAAAATAATACAATGGCTAATAATGATCAAATCCGAGTGTAAAGCTCTACCCGTCTTAACCTTGAGCCACCGCTGTCCTCAGTCAGTGGCACAATAGCTGATTTTGCCGTCTTCATTATAGCCAAGGTATTGTCTTCTCTATATCTTTATCAACAACTCAGCTGCATAAATCTTTAGCTGTACGATGATAATCAGAAAGCAAATATCAAACATTTGTGTTTCTTTTGAAGCACCCTTTAATACCCAAAATCTGTTCTTTATCAAACACTTTTCAGCAATAACCCCAACCCCATCTCCAGTTTACTCAGATACACAAAAATTGGACACCCATTTGAGGTCTCTTTGTGAAAAGCCTAATCCCAAGTATAACAATGCAGTTTCACTTTTTAACCATGTAATTGATGATTTTAGGCAAACCCCATCCGAGTCAACTTGCAATTTTCTTGTTGTAACTTTGGCTAAGAGTAAGGAGTACAATCTTGCTTTAAGGGTGTATTGTAAAATGAGAAAAGCCCAAGTCTTGCCCAGGTTTTTATCATTAGCTGCTTTAATTGAATGTTTTGTTTATGTTCATAAGCCTAAATTAGCAATTGGTGTATTGGGGTTGATGTTGAAGAATGGTTATAAGGCTAATGTTTATGTTGTTAATGTTATATTGAAGGGTTTATGTGAAAATGGTATGGTTGTTAATGCTATTAAGTTTGTTTGGGGTTTGGATATGAAAGAGGTAACACCTGATATAGTTAGTTTAAACACCCTAATGAGAGGACTTTGTAGAGAGAAGAAAATACAAGAGGCTTTGGATTTGAGGTTTAGTATGGAGAAGGTGGTGAATTTTACCCCTAACTCGTATACGTATGCCATTTTGATGGAGGGTCTTTGTTCGGACGGGAGGTTTGATGATGCTATTGGATTGTTGGAGGAGATGAGAGTAAAAGGTTTGAAAGAGGATGTTGTTGTGTATAGTACACTCATAAATGGGCTTTGTAACAAAGGATATGTTAGTAGAGGGAAAGAATTTTTGAATGAGATGTTGGAGAAAGGAATTTCTCCGAGTGTTGTCACTTATTCTTGTTTAATTAATGGATTTTGTAAGCAGGGGAAATTGAAAGAAACTACAATGTTGTATGATGATATGTTGGACCGCGGAATCCAGCCTGACATTGTTACTTTTACGGGAATGATTGGTGGCCTCGGCAATAATGGGATGGCTAAAAAAGCAATTGAATTGTTCAATTTGATGATACGTAGGGGTGAGGAGCCTGGAAACATAACTTACAATATTCTTTTAAGTGCACTATGCAAGGAAGGGTTATTGGCCGATGCTTTTGACATTTTAAAATTGATGATAGAGAAAGGAAAGACACCCGACGTGATCACTTACAATACACTAGTAAAAGGACTTTGTAAAAGTGGGAAATTGGACGATGCCGTGACACTTTTTGATTCGATGTTGGGTGACGAAACTTATGTTCAGCCGGATGTTATAACAATGAATGTACTGATTCGTGGGCTTTGCCAAGAAGGCTCCCTTGATAAGGCAGGGGAAATTCATAACAAGATGGTTGAGAACAAGTCTTTAGTTGATATTGGAACCTTTACTGTACTTATTGGAGCTTATATAAAGGCAGGCAACATTGTCAAAGCTTTTGAACTTTGGAAGCAGCTAAATCAATTGAATCTTATTCCAGATTCAATAACCCATAGCACCATAATTGATGGATTTTGCAAGCTGTGTGCGCTCAACATTGCAAAAGGTTTGTTTCTCAGATTTAGAAAGAAGGGATATCATCCAACTGCTTTTGATTACAACAGCTTGATGGATGCCTTATGCAAAGAGGGTAGCTTGGAGCAAGCAAGGAGGTTGTTTCAAGAGATGTTAGATGGAAATTGTGAACCAGACGTAATCTCATACAATATTATCATTGATTCAACTCTTGAAGCAGGAAATTTGCAGTCTGCTAAGGAGTTGCTTATCGATATGTCCCAGAGGGGTTTGAGTCCTGATGTCTTCACTTTCTCCATATTAATAAACAGGTTTTCGAAGCTTGGACAGATGGAGGAGGCGAAAAAATTATTTGTGAGAATGAATGCTTCTGACTTGACACCGGACATTACTGTGTATGATTGTTTACTCAAGGGATTTAGTTTGAATGGTGAAACAGAAGAAATTATTGATTTGCTTCGCAAAATGGCTGCTAAGGGCATTGAGCTAGACCTCGGACTTACGTCCACCATCTTGCAATGTCTTTGTAATATTTCTGAAGATCTTAATGTGGAGGAACTGTTGCCAAACTTTTCGCAGAAAAAATCAGAAGGATTTAGTATTCCCTGCAGTGAGTTGTTGATGAAGCTTCAGAAGAGTCTCCCCAAGCTTCAGTTAGATTCTGCTTTGTAGTACAATCTCACATGCTTCTGGCAGTTATTGAGGGAGCTTTCTTTTCTACATAGGTATTACATTTTGACATTTAAAGCTTTTGCAACGCAATGCAGGGTATGTTGTAATTCCATAGTCTATTATTTTTTCTTGTCGAAAGGCAAGCATCCTAGAATATACATTAAATGCCGGGAGAGTAGGTTATCTTGTATGGTCCTATATTTCATGCATCACTTAGGTTTCTACTTACTTTTTATTGAACTATATGTTAAAAGGTTTTAATTAGAGAAATCCCTCAAGGCACACAACTCCTCCTCCACTTCCATCTTAAATATTGGAGTTGCCTTCGTTATCATATTTCATGATAAATCTTTTTCAGAAAATAAAATAAAATGTGGACTTTCCCTAACTTATCCTTGTATTAAAGTTTTTTCAGATACCTTTGACCTTAAGTTGAACTCATGATTGTCATATGTATTTGTATTGATCTAGCAAGATTTACATAAAGAAAATAAGTTGTGTTATTGATGAAAATGGAAGTGACCTTAACCTTACGATATGAATGCCTACAAGTGTCATCATGTTTTTGAATCCTTGACTACAATTTTTATTCAAATAATATTTGAGACTATTTTGATAAGTTTTAGAGTTAAGATTCATGTTATACGAGATACAAACGTAATCATTGTATCTCATATATCATGATTCTTAAAGCTGTGTAGGTAAAGCTGCACACAGAGAGAGGGAGAGATTTTGATTTTTTTTATGTGAGAGAGGAGAAAGAAATATCTGGTGCTTGCAGAGGTAGCTGAAATCGTGAAAGAAGACAACAATTCATCATTTGTGTTGAGGTCATGCCAAACCCGCAACAACCTTTGGTCACTGACCAGGGTGATTGCCTTACATTAAAAAAAAATCATCATTTGTGCAAACTGGAAACTGCTTTCAGTGAATCAGTTTCTGTTGCATCAATTATTTATATTGTACTCAATGCTTTTCCACTATGCTAATGACTTTTGTCCGTCTTTTATTCTTTTGTGGTTCTCCTCTGTTTGGTTTTTCTTGCCTGGTTAAAGTAATACCTATTTGGTATGCCACTTATGGAACCTCAATGTCATGGGCTTATTAGCTATGGCAATTGGCACACACTACTTTTTCTTTTGATACCTAAACTGTGTTTTTTTGGTTTATTCTGTTACTTTCCTCCATTATGAGGGCAGGGAATACGATGGTCGAGTAGGTTTCAAAACTCATTTCTGGGTTTATGATACTAGATGAATTGATTTTCATTTCTACTAAACTCGCTCTCTGTTTTTACTTTTTAGTACAAGGAAATAACTTGTTAACGCTATCGAAATTACACTTACTGTTTGAATGCATCTATTTTCTGTAATCGGTTTGCTCTATCTCAATTTAGCAGTATATTTTTGCTTCTCTGGTTAGCTTGCACAAGTTTATAATGAAGTTCCATCTAGAAAATGGAAATGTCATTTGGCTGTTTTTCCTAATGATACCATTGTAAGTTTATTCGGGAGTTTGTGGATCTAGTTATGGAAGTGTGTTTAGATTTTGTTTGGAGATACTGTTTTTCTTTACCCTTGTTCTAGTTCATTTATGTGAAGAGCACTTTATCTGAATGGAATTTGTATAACTTATTTGGAGTGGTGGTTCACAGGTGGAAACATGTCGAGGCCACTCCATAGAGGTGTGTCTTGTGGGGGGCGGTTATTGGGTAACAGTCATGATTCATTTGGATGACTCCCAGGTGAAATATAAAACAGAGAAGGATGATTTCGACCATAATCACTCACCTGGTGATCAGACTCATCTTTCTATGACTGTAACTGTGGACCTAGTTCGAGGCATACTTGCTTAGTTCTCCCTCCTGCTAATTACAAAATTCCATTTTGTGTGGCCTACTGAAAAAGACGTCATCTGGCATGCAAATATTAATATCACTGCACAGGAGGTGCTCTATTCTGGAAGTTTAACCAAAAGGTGAACGCGAAATTCTACTTTCTCTTTATTTTTTTGTAAACAAAAGATTGCAATATCTGCCTAGGTCTCCACTATTATTTCTTCATTTTTCTGATCTTGTTTAATTGTATGCTGCAGAGTTGGGTTATCATCCGTGATACGGCTCCACTGATTGAGTTATCAAGAGTTCACACAGCACTGTTGAAATGGAATGCACGAGTTGTATAGATATTTGAAGTCGCACTAATTTACCAGAAACCATTCTCTAAAGACAATCAAGCTAAATGTTGGCTTGATAAGACATACTTTGCTCGATCAATAGTTAAATTTCGAACAGAAGAAGAAGAAAGGGTTCTGCAACAAGACCAAACACAATTCCTATGGTGCCATAAGGTGTACATAGGGCCATGTAAGTACACGATTTGAAGAACAGGACAATCAAGAAAATTATAGTGCTATAAGTTTTATTTGTGTATTGTTATTAAGGCAATTCAAATTCTGAATGTATCTTTTAGACCGAGTCTGGAATTACAATGAGAGTTATGTTTACTGTAAGAATCTTGTTAGTTTGTGATTCAGGCAAGTATGAGCAAGAAAATATGATGCAGAAAGTGCACTAAGAATGACCCAGTAGTCAATGAAGTGAGGAGAATTACTAGGTTTCATGTTCAAATTTTCAGAAAAAGGCAAAAACACTAGGTGATTTCTTTCATCAGCCTAAGTCTTGAGGGGTGGAGTTACCTGGATACTGGTTGCTGGTAGGAGATAGCATGTGTAGTGAGGAAGTGATCGAGTCTCGGCGAATAGAGTTACATGAGTACCTCTTGTTGGTGGAAGGTAGCATGTATCAGGTGAAACTAGTCGAGCTGAACACAAGTTGGTTTGAACACTATAGTTATTCAAAAAAGGCTCGGAAAATAATGACACTAATTTTTGTTTTGGTTCGGGCAAACTTACCTGGTTGCTGGTAGGAGATAGCATGTGTAGTGAGGAAGTGATCGAGTCTCGGCGAATAGAGTTACATGAGTACCTCTTGTTGGTGGAAGGTAGCATGTATCAGGTGAAACTAGTCGAGCTGAACACAAGTTGGTTTGAACACTATAGTTATTCAAAAAAGGCTCGGAAAATAATGACACTAATTTTTGTTTTGGTTCGGGCAAACTTACGTTCATTGATTAATTTCTATGACAAGTTACCCAACACGGAACGGAGAACACTCTTAAGGCTTGTTCATTGATTAATTTCTATGACAAGTTACCCAACACGGTACGGAGAACACTCTTAAGGCTTGTTTGGTACGATGGATAAGAGATAACTAATCCCAGATGTTTAACCCACAATTAAAAGGTGAAATAATAATTTTAGAATAATTAATCTCGAGATAATATAGTCCCCAATCAAAAGTGCCCTTAGTTTCCCTAACAAGGATCGATTGGTTTCTAAATTTTATTGCTAGCGAAACACTAATTACGGGTATATTCCTCTACAATTAGAGGTTTCGGCTTCAAACTTTTTCGGGCATGAAAAGAAAATCTTATAAATTATTTTGGGCATGAAAAGAAAATCTTGTAAGTTATGCCTTACGCAAGGTGATTTTAAATTATTCCGACTCTAATATGGACACAAATAAATCTTATTTTCATGATCGGTAATAGTAGCTGTCAATAATTAGGTCGAAAATCAAACCAAAAAAAAAAAAAAAAAGTCTCCGGCGAGAAATTCCCAATTCACCGCGTCGGCGTCGACCCTGAATAAGCTTCTCCGTTGTATTCAATCTTTCAGTTGATGGACAAAACAAAATCCCCTGAAGTCGTCGCCGGCGTAATTCACAACGCTTTTTTTCAAGCATCTGGTATGTTTCTCCGGTGAACCTTTTTCCGGTAGACTTTTCTACATGCAACATTTTCTGCGAAAGGTATCTATCTACAAAAAGAATAATGGGTTCGGAGTATATATTGATTACATCTATTATTCTGTGTGATTTAGAATAAGATTTTGTTAATTTTTGGGAAATAATGTTTGGTGTCCTAACTAGTAGTAGAAAACAAGACTTGATTTTGTTGTGAGCAGAAGTCCAGATGTTTGTTCATTTGTTCTGTTTTGTGGATCACATGAAGTTCTTGTAGTTGTGGGGCTTTGAATTGTGATGAGTTAATGGAGTTTGATTGTTTTGTTACAGTATTGGCTATTATGAAGAAAAAGCCCCCTAGCTTGGTGAGCTTGTGTCTTGGAGTTATTGGTAGACATTTTGAGGATATCATTGAAGACCTCGCCGAGATAGCTGCTATTCCGTCCACCATGAAGGTTGAGCATTCTTATGCCTGGTTTTATACATAATTTGGTTGTAGTTATTCTGAAAGTGTACCCTTTGGTTGATGTGAATACAACTAGATTTAGTTGGCAATCGTTTAACCCGAAAACTTTTGCTTCTTAAGGCGTGGTGCCTTTTGTGCTTCAGTTAACTGTATGTTCTTCTGCAATTCCCTTAAGATAATAAGGTTTTCATTCCACAAAATGACATTATAGATGTCCTATTTCCTAGTCAAGCAATTTATTATGCCACCATATTAAGGGTGAACGTAATAGTGAAGGAATGTTTCCCCGGAATCTTTCATCCAACTTTTGACAAAAGACTGCTTCTTCGCTATCAAAGAAATCATTTATTTTTTTCTTCCTTCGTTTGTTTTCATTGAGGGAATTGTTTGGTGGAGATTGAAGTGGTGGTGGAGAAGGTTAACTAACAAAGTAAAATAAAGCTGTCAATCCATGCTATCTTGCAAAACTATTTAATGAATTATTGGAAAATGTGGATTTACATCCTAGCTTGTCCTTTCGACTCTAATTTTTCTGGTTACTGAAACAATCTGTTTTAATTGTTAGATGGCACTTGTGGCAATTGCAAGAAGGAGAAGGCTATTGAATGACGATGTCATTGTTGCATTGGCTGATAGCTCCTGGAAAATCCTGGACTTGTCTGGTTCGGAGGTTTCTGATTTTGGCCTATCACAAGTGGTTAAAACTTGCAAACATCTGCAAGCAGTTGATATAAGGTGTTGTATATTGATCATTTCATTTGTCGAGGGTTTCTTTGTTTTCAGAAACAACATGCATGTCAGAAAAGATCTTCTGGTTTAACTTCCTTATTGGATATGCATGGTGCGCCAACTATATCTTGCTACATGACACCTCTCATTTCCACTAAGGCACACATAATTTTTTGTCCTTTGTCAAAATTCTGCAATTAGTAAGGAGCCCTCACTACTAGTAAATTAAATCAAGTAGTGTGCTGACTGTATGGCTTAAAAAATATGTTATGAGGCGTTAACTCCCATTTTCTACTCTTCTTGCTTTCTCTAACTGGTTCTTGATCTCGTACTTGTGTAAAAGAATTTATTCCAAGTGCTTTTCTGGATTCACTTTTCTTTAAAGTTGCATTACACACTTTGTGCAGGCCACACTCTCACCTATTTCAGTCCTTTTTCTGCTGCTCAACTTAAATTTGGTTTTGAAATGTGAACCTAAATATGAACATCCATTGTCACAGTCGCTGCAGCAAGCTCACATCAGTCAGTGTATCAGAACTCTTGCAGAACTGCCGGTCTCTGGAAATACTGAGATGGGGGTAGGTTTCCTTTCTTAAATCAAGTCACTTCTTTCAGTCATGAAGCATAAAACATCGTGTGTAACAATAACAAGATCTGGTCCATTGGATTTCCCCTAAGCTAACATTTCATAAATGATTGTCTGGTTAACCTCGAGGCTACTGATGCAACCATTTGGTTTTCTTATAACTTGCTTAGAACCTGTGGACCTTTTCATGTTAAATAATGTTTTTTTACTAATGAGTACATTCAGTATTAAGATTCTTCTCAAATATGTGCATAGTGTAAGCATTCATCGGCTATTTTTTAGATATTTGAACTTGCCTTACTTAAGGATGCTCAAATTTGATGCATTTGTTTTTTCTGTGTGCATAGTGTAAGCATTCGTTGACTATTTTTTAAGATTCCTGTGGATAAAGTAAAAAAGTATGCTATTATTAGGGATAGAACACACAACCTCAAACTATTTTTACAAAAGAACCTTGCATCTTTCAACTATTTACACAAATGTCATTTGAAGTTTTTTCTATGGAAGAGATCTTTTGTAAAAATCTAGGTTCATCATATACTTTGCTTGATAAAACACTCTCAACAAATAAGGAAAATGTAGAAATTAACCACATAACCAAAATGAATCAAATTTAATGTTGCAGAGGCTGCCCTCGGAGTGAGAACACAGCTCGTAGATGCCTCCGTTTCTTGAAACCAATACTAGAGCATGTGGAAGGAGATTCTTGGGAGGAACTTGATACCTTGGAAATAGCTCATGGTGCGACATCCTTGCGTTGGCTTTTATGGGTATGAGTTGTATTTCCTGTTCAAGCTTGCAAAACTTCATCTTTCTTATTAAGCGTTATGCATGTGACTTATGAACTAGAATAACAAATAGATTATTTTTATTGTATATTCTTAAAAGACATTAAATGTTTTAAATTCACATAATAATAGTACTATTTATAGAAGTATTAGTTTTAGTGTCAGACATTTACTTGCAATACATCAAGTTGGATGCTGACGTAAAAACTCAATTTATTAATATGAAGATTTGAGCTGTTTAACTCAAAGTTCTAAAGTATACCAATGCAGTTTCACTCTTTAACCATGTAACTGCTGATTTGGGGCAAACCCTGTCCAAGTCAACTTGCAATTTTCTTGTTGCAACTTTGGCTAAGAGTAAGGAGTAGTCTCCTGAATTCAGACTAATATCTAATCCTTTTGCAGCCAAAAGTTGAAAAGGAACAGCTGGAGATTTTGTCTGAAGAATGCCCACGAGTCATAGTAAATCCAAAGCCGTCGCCACTCGGTTACAGGGGGATTGATATACCTAGAGAAGCAAGACTAGATGTATCATTAGATGATCCCATGGTTGAAGATATTGACCCCAAGATCTGGGCAGTTTCTGGAATTGTACCTAGAACATCACCATCATCAGTTTCAAGCTCAGAAGATTTGCCCATTGCAGAAAAGTTTAGACTTGCATTTCTTGAGAGAGATACTAGACTAGCGCCAAAGCGAGCAAAGAATGCAAGACAACACCAACGACGTGCAGAAAAGGAATGGGTAACGATGAATAGTAGGGCAAAAGCACTAGCACTTGCCTCACTGGCTAGCAAATCCCTTAACATCCGGAATTGAAAATAGATGTTTAGTTATATGAAAACTGTTTTTGATCTCTGTCAGTCAACAATACACAAAGCTTCTGTATTCAGACTCTTTCAGGCAATGGAAAAGCCTCCTATTTGGGACATCACACTGTTAATAGTAAGGCCACTGTCAAAGAGTTGTGTATATTGTTCTTGGTAGTAGTTGTTCCTGCGTGAATGTACATTAGAAAGTTGCTGCTAAAGATTCATATATTGAGCTACTCTAGCTTTCTCTTTCCATGTGCAGTGCATAAATTCCTTGCAAATGCCAAATCAAACTTATGCTACTCCAGAGTTGTTTTCA